CACCCGCAGCGTCCGTACCGCTCCGCCGCCGAGCGCCGCGCTCATCCCACCCGCCGCCTCCGGGCCTCGCCGCCCCGGCCGCCCGAGCCGTTCAGAGCTGGTGGCTGACACTCCGGTGTCGACGAGAGAGTTAGACCCAAGGAGACGAGGCGGAAGTGAAGACACCAGGGGCCTTGAAGGCTAGATTTCGATTGGTCCGCAGAGGAAAGGGGAGAGACTCCGGCGGAGGCCATTTTTGTTTCGGGCAAAACAAAGTGACTTGGCGCCCAATGTGATGAACTAGACGTGAGGGCAGTGCTTTTAGGGTTGGGTGGTGATTCTGACAACTTTGATTTTTGCGTTTGGTTTTTCCGCTGCGGGCTATCTGGTTTTTATTAATTCATTGAGACTTTTGAAAGACTGGCATCAGGAAATGCGTTTGATGATTACAAAATGAGACAAGTTACAGCGGAGTCGGAAACCACGCCGCGAGTCCAAAAGGCAGTTGAGTGCTGTGTTGCCCAAGGTAACTGGAAGCAAAGTTAATTCAGCGGGAGTGAAACTAAGGAAAAAGACATCATAAACAACTAACGTTTTAAATTTTTTAAATTCTTACTACGTTTATTGTATAGTAATATGTGCTCAGATCCCAGGGCTGATTAAGAAAAACTAAGGCTCATTCATTCAAACATTTACCAGGCATGTACCATGTAGAGTACCATGTATTACTTATCTGCCGAATAAGACACTTTTGAGAGTGAAAGAGAGTAGAGTTAATAATTAAGCCAGTTCAACAGGCACAAACCTAGTCTGATGGCCACTTTATAAACCAAGTACAGAGCTAAGCACTTGGGATTCAAAAATAATAAGATACAATGCGTGTCATCAGTTAAGTGTAATCAAAATACATATAGGTGGTATGAGAAATATATAGGGAGTATTTTTTTCCAAGGAATTCTCAGTGCTGGAGGATGGGGGCTATGGGAGGAAAAACTTCAGAAATAATGTTTGTGTAAATAATGATGAGGAAGACAAGGAGATGGAGGTCATTATAAGAGCAGGAATAACAGGAGACCTCAAACAGTGTGATCCATAGACTAGCTGCTGGCAATCAGCCTGTCCAGATGCAAGGGGTATGCTGAAGAGACTAGAATGTTGTACTGGGTCATGAAGAGTGCCATACCAAGGGAATTCGATTTCAACTGTAATTTAAACAATGGGGGAACCATCGAAGTTTTCTAATGTGAGAAATTAAATGACTAAGTTTTCATTTTAAAAGCTTCTGTGGCAACACAAAACTGGAAGACAGAGATTGGAGATAGGGAGGCCAGTTAAAAGACTAGCAAGAGTTCAAGCAAAAGATAGTAAGAATTTAAACAAAGATTATGGTAATGGGAGTGAAAAAAATCAAACTCCACAGTATTGTGAGATTTATCTCTAGGAGGTCAACCAGGTTATCACAGTAAATTTCAGAGAAAAATCACTTTGTGCTTCCTAAAAGGAAGGAGAAAAAGAATCATTTTGAAATACACCAGAGCATTCTGTTCTTAACAAGGCCTACCCTCAGGGAAAACTAGTTAACCAGAGCCTAACCTAGGGTATTACTGAGCCTAACTAAGCTGAAAATTCCCTTGTGCCCCTTTTCAGTCAAGCCCCCACCCCCAGCCCCCCCACCCCACCCCCGATCAACCATTGACCTGATTTTTCCTGTTAAGGACTGCCTGAAATTTCAATACAGAAATTTATTGCCTGTGAGTTTTTAAATTGACTACTTTGAAGATTCTTCTTTTAAATGCAAGTAGGCTATAAGACAAAGAATATTGAGTTTTAATATCAATTTGCCCTTTACTTCTCAGTCCTATACTTTCCCTAGGTTCTTGTTTCTTCCTATGTAAAATGGAAAAGTTTCAACTGAATGGGAAAGTTCCACTTCTAGCTAGGAGATCTTAAAGGCTACAACAGGGTTAGATAAACTAATCTAAATATTTCAAGAGCCAAACAGGAATTGTACACTTATAATTCTGCAGCCAAGGCCAGCCTAAAATTCTAATTTCCTTTGTTTTTAGGCTGAAATTATATGAATGCAGTGTGTATACTCATTTTCTGATGTTTATATTATCTTCTGATTGATTGCTTATGAAAACATGACATTTCTGGGGCTCATGGAGGAAAAAGAATTGAAAAGATTTATAGGTGATAAACAGGTTGATCTCTAAGTTTCTGCGCAGCCAAGAGGTTTAAAGAATAGAGTTGCTGCCTGTCATGCCCACCTTATGGGGATAGTTGACAAAATATGAATGGTGGTTAGATTAAAGCTATCACTATACTTCCACTAAAAATACCTTTTGCATCAATTTGTGTCCCAAGTTTGGTGACTGTGCAGTGATTACTAAGAGAATGCCCTTATTCTTAGGAAATGTTTAAGAGGAAGAGGTAACAGGAAGTACAAAAAGAATAACTCTTCACATGGTGCAGAAAAAAATAAAGAATATAGACATGCACAATAGAGGGAATGATAAAACAAGTGTGGTTTAAAATGTTAAAAATGTGATAATCTGGATAAAAGATATATGGGTATTTTATGTATTATTCTTATAATTTTTCTGTAAGTTTGAAATTTCTACAACGAAAAGGTTTTCTTAAGTATATAATTAAATATTTTGTTAATTCAGACTTTGTCCAATTAGTTTGAATTAGAAAGAAATGGCTCTAAGTACCCTGGGAAACCTGTGAAAAATTCTTATACTGATGCTCACATGGTCCCTGTGGGTGAATCACATACCAGAAATGTCTATGGTGGGGTTCTGCTTGGGACTTCTGACTTATGTAAATTTGAGAGCTTAAGTTTGAGAAGAAGAGCACAAGTTTCCTACTACTTAAGTCTAGAATAAAACAGAACTCATACACTTTGTATTTCAGAGCTGGAAATGTCAATGAGGAAATCGAGGTCAACTATAATTGCCATGATGACTAGTGTCATAGAGACTCAATATGGTGACCTAGAGCTGACCTCAGGGAGGAATCACAGTCAGATCAGAATCGCTCATTTCTAGGATTCTTTGTAAGGCTGACTCAGTAATTTCTAAATCTTACCTTGCAATGAATGCAAACCTAGGTCACTACATACATTTCATTTTCTCAGATAAATATGCAGTACAGTACCAAGCTATTTCTCAGGACTGTGTGTGTATTCATATATTCCTAAGAAAGATAAGATCAGGTAGAAAACAACTTACCAAATACAAAGGGAATGTATATGATCATCTTAAATGTGAGTATCAGACATTAAAAATCTGGTATGTTCATTACCTGCCTTGGATTCCTTAGCTCTGGAAAAGAGCATATTCTTCAAAAGCTATCATTTTCACTAACTAAGAAGTAGAAACAGCACTGATTTCCTTCAAACCTGTTCAAAAAGGGAGGCATGCTTTCATGTAAAAGGTAGAGAAATCTTAGAAGTTGCCTAGCATTCCTCTCCTAGCCTCTGGGCTCCCTGATGTTGTATAAAACAGCTTTATTCACAGTAAAATAAAAAAAAATCACTACATTCTAAGTCAATTCATTGCAAATAATGGTGAATACAAATTTTAGCTCAGATATTTTATTATTTATTTATTTTTATTGGTGGGAGAGGTAGTTAGGTTTACTTATTTATTTTTACAGGAGGTTCTGGAGACTGAACCCAGTACCTTTTGTATGCTAAGCTTGTGTTCTACCACTTGAGCTATACCCTCCCCCCTCAGATACTGCTGACTGTATGATTTTGAGCAAATAATTCCTCTCTTTGAGCATTAGTTTCTTCATAAAATAGAGCTTCTTGAGAGAGGTAAGCAGAACAGTGAGAGTTCTTGAAACCATATGACAGAGAATTGTTAAAAGAACTGGGATACCACTACGCACCTATAACAATGACCAAAATCTGGAACATTGACAACACCAAGTGTTGGTGAGGGTGTGGAGCAGCAGGAACTCTCATCGATTGCCCATGGAATGCAAAATGGTACAGACACTTTGGAAGACAGTTTGACAGTTCCTTACAAAACTAAACACACTCTTACTATACAATCCAACAATTATGCTCCTTGGTATTTACCCACAGAACAGAAGTTGAAAACATGTCCACACAATAACCTGCATGTGGATATTTATAGCAGCTTTATTCATAACTGCCAAAACTTGGAAGCAACCAAGATGTCTTTCAATAAATAAACTGTGGTACATCCAAATAATGAAATATTGTTCAGCACTAAAAATAAATGAGCTATCAAGTCATGAAGAGACATGGAAGGACTATATGTACATGTTACTATGTGAAAAAACTCCATTCTGAAAAGGCTACATACTTTATGATTCCAACTATAGCATTCTGGAAAAAGCAAAATTATGGAGACAGAAAAAAGATCAGTGAATGCTAGGGGGTGGGAGTTGGGAGGAATGAACAGGCAGAGCATAGAGGATTTTTAGGGCCCTGAAAATATTCTGTATGATACCGTAATGATGGATGCATGTCATCATACATTTGTCCAAATGCACAGAATATGCAAAACACCAAGACTGAACCTTGTGTAAACTGTAGACCTTGGGTGATTATGATGTGTCAATGCAGGTTCATCACTTGTAACAAATGTACCCCTTTGGTGGGAGATGTTTACAGTAGGGGAGGCAATAGCATGTGCAGGGGCAGGAAATCTCTGTACCTTCCTCTCAATTTTGCTGTGAACCTAAAACTGCTTCAAAAAATAGTCTTAATTTTTTAAAAAGTCTAGTGCATTGAAAATAAATTTTAATGGCAATTAATGTTCTTAAGTAAATTGGAAAGTTTTAGAACTTAATTTTATTCTCCACTACCCTTCAGAGAGAAAAACTTTCAAAAAGCTAAAAAGGAAAATAAGATCCCTCTCTCCCATCTCACTAACACGGATTGCCTACAGATTTCTTCTGAAAGATTCTTTTGTTCCCTACACCCACTAACTTTCCTGGGTGTTCTTTAATGCTGCCCCCTACGCAGGAAAAGTCTTTGCTTTCTTATCCCGCAAGCTAAATCTCTGTCCTCTTTCAAATCCTCCCTCAAGGTTGACTACTTCCAGAAATTCTAACTCATCTCTAAAATAATGTCCACATTTGAAACGAACATGCATCTAATATAGTTTGTAAGAATTGTAATTGCTTTTCTTATTTTCTCCTTTTGCGGGGGTGGGTTGTAGAGGTCATATCCTTTTTGTGACAAATTTAATGCATAAAATATTTATCGGGA